GGCCAGCAAGTGTGTGATGCGCAGTAGGCCCCACGGCTGCCAGTTCTACAGGCACCAAGAAAGCAGAAAAGGCCACTGTGACTCTCAAGACTGTAGTCAGGGAAGGCCTCACTGAGAAAGGGACATCAGAGCTGAGATGTGAAGAAGGTGAGTTCTAGGCAGAGGGATCAGCAAGGGCAGAAGTCCCAGGTCACAGTGTGCCTGGTGTCCAAGGACAGGGGAGGAGTGAGCAGGGGACATGGTGGGTGGGGGTCAGGAGGTAAGGACCCAGAGCACACAGGCTGTGTCCTTGACAGGGGGCCCTTGGCTTTTACTCCAAAGGACACAGAAGACAGGGAACTGGGGCAGGGAAGGGGCTTAGATGTGAAAGGGTCAATGAGACTTCTCTGGCACTGTCCCATGCCCACCTCTGGACCCTTTTCATGGCTCAATAATGTCCCCACCCACTCACTGAGTCAAGACAGGCAAAAAGGAGCCTCAAACCCCTCCCCGAACCCAGGCCCCGGAAGCCAGCCTCCGCCTCACAACACAAGGCCCTGAACTGAGGGAGAGAGCCCTGGATTCATGGCATGCTGGCCTTTGACCCCATGTCTTCTCTGGACCTGTTTCCCTGGGTCTAGATAGGGTGCAGATGGGGCTCCCTGTCTGTCATCTGTGGTGGTGGCATGGGGGCAGGGAGGACAGACTTTCATGGACCACGCAGCTCTGGACAGATGGTATCTAATGATCTGCCCAACTCAGGCCACCAGGTACTTGGGCCTCTTCTGCCTAGTGAGATGGGAGCTGCCCAGTGGCATGGGAGATGGTGGCTTCATGAGGCACCACAGTGTGGGCCGGAGCTCCACTTGTGCACCTGTGTGGTCGGCATAGGGGTACTGTGGGGAGAAGAGACACTTGTCCCTGCATGTCTGCTCGCCAGGCCATGGGCAAGGGCAGAGGTACCTTCAACACTGGGCCCAGAGGCTTCCAGCAAGGAGTCAGCAGCCTGGGCCCACCTCGTCCTTCCCCAGATTCTGCGCTCTGTCTTGTCTCTCAGCAGCCTGTCTGGGCCACTTCACACACCCTCCTCTCTGGCCCATCTTGCAATACTTTCCTCAAATCTAGCATGATGTCCCATACCTCTGTCCCTCACAGATGGCCACCATTCCACCTCTAGGAAGCCTCCCCAGACCACCCCACCCTGTCTCTTGTCTCCTGAGTCTACAGGACTGAGTGCTAAGGCAGATCCTTGCCTGCTGTGGGGCCCTCTCCTCAGGCCAGGAGGTCTGAGACATGACCAGAATGAGGATTGAGGCATGACCAGGGTGAGAACTGTAGCTTCTCTCTGGCCAGTTCTGTGGTCCTGACAAGCTCCTTCACCACCCAGAGCCTCTGCAAATGAGGGTCATGTTTACCTTGCAGGACTACTGACAACTTACAAAGTCAAATCCAATTTTGTAAGCTGTACATGTATTATACTCTTCTTTGCCTAAGAGATTTCTGCTGTTAAGAATGGAAGTCAAGCACAGTGGCACACGCCTGTGGTCCCAGCTACGCAGGAGACTGAGGCAGGAAAATCACAAGTTCAAGATCAGCCTGGGCAATTCAGTGACATCCTGACTCAAGATTTAAAAAAGGTTGGGAATGTAGCTCAGTGGTAGAGTGCCTCTGGGTTCTACCACTAGTTCTGCAAAAACAAAAACAAAAAAGGAAGCAATGAGAGCTACACTACACAGGCCCCAGTGCCTGGTGTCTACAGAGGGAGTAATTATCTTCCAATCTTCCAAGTGAGAAGGATTTGCTGAGGATAGTGCTGGGTCCCTTCCAAATTCCAGGCCTATTATACAGATTGGAAAACTGAGGCCCAGGGAGGTTACTTGCCCGTTTTTCTGTTACTCCACCCCAGAGTCTGAGATTAGCATCAGCGTTCTTAACTCCCATGTTCTGCCACTTTTTTGTAGACATTGCAGGCATTTCCATTCATCACATCCACTTTTCAGAAGGGACAAACAAGGTCTAAAGACATTGGAGAGATGTGTCCAAGAGGCCTCTCTGTGGTTCCCAGAGGCTGAGGCCTAGACCTGGTGCTAGGCACAGAGATGCACACTGCCCTGGGTCCCGTGGGTTGGGCTCACTCACGCGATAGCAGGCATGTAGTACTCAAACTTGCTCAAGAACTCGGGCAGAGACAGGGGCTTGTCCATGCCAATGATGTTCTGCAGCTCCTCTGCTGTGTTGGCTGGGAGGGCGATCCCTCGCTTCCTGAGAAGAAGAAGACAGTGAGGGTGGAGGATCCAGCCAGGCCTGACGGGGTGGGATGGAAGACTCCACTCGGAGCCTAGCAGGAAACCCAGGGACTCTCCATCCAACTCCTTCCCTCAGATAGATGGGAAAACTGAGGTCCAGCCCCTATAGAATCAGGACTGGAATTCTTCCCAGACCTTCTGGCCCTAAGCCAGGGGAAGTCAGCAGATCTCAAGAGTGACAAGCAGGGGTTGAAGTCTCCATGTCACATACCCTCCACGTCCTTGCTGGGCCAGGATCTGCAAGTGCCAGGACCAGCCCAGGACTTCTTCCCAAGCCCCAGGAGTGGCCAGAGCCAGCTGGTCCTGTGCCCAGGCAGGGGTTATCAGGGGCAATAACTGCAGCCTCACAATGCCTGAGGCAGAAATTGGGGCAGGACTTCCCCTTCCACCCTCCTCTGGCACATCAGAGTGGCCTGCCTGGTCTAGCACACTAGGAGGGGGTGTGTGGCAGCTCCTGAGGTGGGAGGGCTCAATGAGCTGGCCATCCAGCATAGAGCTCTGTCCCCTCCTTTCCCCAGCTCCTGGCACAGGCTGGACCTTGGCATCCTGCTGAGAATACCCCTGTGGCTCAGAGCCCCCTTTACCCACTGGTGTCCCTGCCCCTCTGTGGCTATGGGAAGGTGGTGCCAGCTCAGGGCCGCCTCCTTCTGCACGTGCTCCTGCCTCCTCCTCCTGTCCCACCCAGACCCTGGCACACAGGCCTCAGTTTCCCCACTTTTAAGATAAAAGAAACGAGAGAGAGAGAGAGAGAAGTGACAACCAAGGAAATGCTTCCAACACGAGAGACAAAAGGGAACAAAGCAGAGAAGAGGACAGACAAAAAAAATCTAGAGGGAACGTCCTTAAGGAGTTGAGAAGATGCTGCATCCTTGAAGTAAGATTTTTTTTTAAAGAACCTCAAGGGGCTGGGGAGGTGGCTCGGTGGAGAGTGCTTGCCTATCACATGTTGCGTCCCCAGCACTGAAGATGAACTTTTAAACGTGTTTTCATATGTAACTGCCTATTCCCCAAGCCCTGTGATATGCCCCTTCCTATCTGGTAGCCTTAGTTCCTTATGGGGACCCACTAGGTACCGCCCAGGTCATGTGGGTGCCCACCAGGCTGCCAGTCAGCCTTCTATGGCTGTTTACTGTAGGGGACAAGGTGACCTTGTGTGGTCTTGGTATATAGAGGACAGATACCTAGCACCCTATGATAACCCCCAGTGTCGAGTATCCCACTGCTAGCCAGCTTGCCCCAAGGTCACCTCCATAAGACCATGTCCAGTCACTAAACCTTGCAGAGCATGTGGGCAAATGAGCCATCAGAATGTGTGAAGACAATGACTTTGATGGTGGCCCTACCCAGGAGATGGGGAGGCCAGAGTAGATACTGGAGGCATCTGTGCACAGTGGGGAGGTCATTCCCAGGGCCAAGGGAGGGAGTCAGAGCAGGACAGCAACAGGAGGAGAGAGTGGCCATGTTCGGAGTGTGCTTTGGAGAAAGCTGACAGGTCGTGAAGGAGACTGAGAAGAGGTGAAAGAGGCCCCTGGAGAAGGCGGAAGGAGTCCCGGAGCTGAAGGAAGAAGAAAGGGTGAGAAGAGAGTCACCAAGACAGGAGACACCGTGGGTTGGATCTGCAGGCCACAGGCCCGTGGCTCCCCCTTCCAGCCCTGCCAACTCCACACCCACATCCAGGCCCCTGTCTGCTGACTCCAGGCCAAATTCCAGTTGGCACTTCCCACCCTCTCTCCAGGGTCCACAGAGGTGGCAGGAGACAAGGGACATCAGACCAGCCGCCATACTGACTCCTTCCTCCGTTTCCCCACCACCCTGCCCCTGCGCTCTGGCCTTCATGCTTTCGCTAATGAGCGCTCTCTGACCCCTTTGCAGTGGTGAGTAGATTCAACCCCATTGTCTCACCCCAAGGACCCCGCTGGGGCTCTGTGGCAATAGTGGGCAGCACCAAGTTGGCAAAGGGCAGGCAGAAATAAGCCCAAGATTCACTCCATTTGCTGGAGCCATGAGGTGCTGATTGATAACACAATCGTCCTGGGCTGTTTATGGGTGGGAGGCCCTGAGCTAAATGGGTTTCCTGTGCTACCTCTCCCAAACCTCCAGCTGCATGTGTAATGGTGGGGGACATGGACTGGGTCCACCTCCTGCTCAAACCTCTGCCCTGAGTTTACCAGGCAAGCTATTGCACCTGCCATGGCTCTGTGTCCTCACCTATGAAGTGGGGCACCAGAGTACCCACCTCACGAGAGGATGAGGCAGAGCGCTGAGGAGTGGGTGGAGCACCAGCAATGCCAGTGTGCCCGTGTTACACAGCTAAGGAAATCACACCAGCAGCCTCCCAGGGCAAAGGGTCACCGGAAGAGCACCAAGGTGGAGGGAGCGGCTCACCAGAACAGTCTTGGGGAGGTGGAAGAGGTGCTCCCGAGTCAGGGACAAACTCTCAAGGGCCACTAGTTCTCTCCTGAGGGGCAGGTGCCTGGACACCTGAGAGGATCCTGGTTTACAGGATAGAACGTTCCAGTTTGGATCCAGAGCTGAACTTTTGAAGATCATGGGGGAGAACTGAGTCCTTCCAGCTCCCAACAGTGAGTGGGCAGCAAACAGGTGCAGGATGCAGAGAGGAGTAGGAGAGGCGTCTCCCAGACAGCTCTGGAAGGAGGCCCTAGCTGACCTCAACCCCCACAGACCACCCTCTTCCGCCCATGGGCTGGCTTGATTCCCGCAAAGATCCATAAGAAGCAGTGACCCTGGACTTTTCTAGGAAATTTTGAGGAGCCGTGGACTCCCTCAGCCTCTGGGGAGGCAGCTCCTGGCTATGGACTTACCTGCCGTAGTATAAGATGGTTTCAGGCTTGATGGATCCATCCAGGTGGACATGCAGTTCTACCTGCAAGGGGCAGAGGGAAGAGAGAGGGGACACCCATGGGTGCCTGAAGAAACTTTCAGGGGTTGTTAACGTCAACCATGAGGACCACTGGCCACCACTGCCTGGACACTGACCACATGCTTTGATTTAACCCTCACCATGGGGTGGGCTCAGCTGCTACCTCTCTTTCACAGTTGAGGACACTGAGGTTCTGAGAGGTTAAATTTCTTGTCTGAGGCCATGGAGCAAGCAATGTCAACAGGAACCCGACCCAGGGCCCTGCTCCTAACCCCAGCCAGGCAATGGCAGAGCCAATTCCCAAGATTGTGCTCTTAACCACAAGGCCAGCCAGGGTCCCAGGGGAACCCTTGAGCCCCAGCCACCTCTCAGATAGCTCCTACTCTCAGCCACCTCATTAAACCAAATCCAAGTTCAGCAGAGAGGACCAAGGACTACAGATTCCACAGTGAGAACCTGCAACACATTTAAAAGTTCAGGCTCCACGTTGGGGGAATTGATATTCAGCAGCACGAGGTCTTTCTAGTACTCTAGTAGGGTACTGGATACTTGGTGGTCTTGGTGATCACTCCCATGGACTCAGTCTCATCTCACATCTTGTACACAAAGCCAAGACACAAGCCAGCAGGGGCTTGGAGACCACCCATCTGGCTTTACTCCTAGTGCTGCTCCATCTCTGGCTGTGGGACCTCAGACAAGGTGCTTGATATCTCCTAAGCCTCAGCTTCCTCAATTCAAAAACAATGGGACTTTACAACGCCTTGTCTAAGAAAAATTGTAAGGACTTATAAAAGACATTGTGGCACTCAGGAAGGCAGGAAGAACATCTGGGCAGACAGAACAAGAGAAAATGGGATGTATGGAGGAACTGAAGGTCAGGTTCAGAGAAGGAGGTCCTGGGAGAGGGGCACTGCAGGGCAGGACCAGCCAGGCAGGCTCTGCAGCCACAGGGAGCTGGGCTTTCTCCTGAGGCCATGGAGAAGCCATGCAGGGCTCAAAGCTGGCCAGAGGGAGAGGGTGACAGAGAGGCTTGGACCCCCTGTCACGAGGTAGACAGGGGAAAATGGGGACAGAAAGCTGTCAAAGGAAACAAACACTTCAGAGTAGGCCTGGGTGGGAGGTGATTCCCACAGCCTAAGGCAGAGAGCCTGGAAGACAGCCAGAACCTAAGGATGGGGACAGGGACGTGGGGAGAGTGGCATGGCTGGCTTGGTTCAGCCGGAGCCACCTTTGAGACATTTGAGAAAGCAGAGGCTCAGGGAAGGGAGGTCACCTTCTCTGTCAACTGTCTCACAGACAGAGTGATACCAGGGTCAGGAGGCGCTCTGAGACCCAGGCGGGAGATGGCACCTGCAGCTGCAGTCAGAGACAGCATGTTAAGGAAGGAGAGGCTTGGGCCTAGGCCCCGGCCTTGACAGGCCAGCACTCCAGGGCTGAGCCAGGGAGGCAGAAGTAGGAGGGACAGAGTTGCCTGATGAGCAGCAGGGCCCGGTCATCTGACGTCAATGGGAAGCAGTGCCCACCAGGTCAGCATAGTGGGATCTCGATGCTGACTGCCCTAAAGCTGTCTATAGCCCAATCCCCAGAACCTGTAAAATATGACCTTATATGGCAGAATATGGGACCATGAAAAATCTTGAGAGAAAGTACTTTCTCTGGACAACCTGGTGGGCCCTGACACAACCTTGTGACCTTATCACAGAGACAGAGATTTGCATCCCACAGGAAGTAGCACTGTGATCACCAAGCCAGAGACCAGTACCATGCCCAGGGTACTTGGTGCTGCCTGAGGCTGGAAAAGATAGAATGGGACCCCCTTCCCCGAGTCCTCAGAGGGTGTATAGTCCTGCTACTACCCTGATTTTGGACTTCTGGCCTCCAGAACTATAAGGGAATAAATTTCTGTGGTTTTCGGCTTCCTGGTATGTGGTAATTTGTTACAGAAAACACATACAGCCAGGCCTTCCCAGAAGTCAAGGGTAGGCAGGCAGGAAAACACCCCTTGGTTTAAGAATGTAGGCACTAGGGACCCTGGAGTAGTTCTCAACCCATTAGGAGCACCAGGGGACCTTTAGAAAGTCACAAATGCTCGGGCCCTAGATCAGTCATATCAGGATCCTGGGGGTGGGCTCAGGCCTAGTGTGTGTGTGTGTGTGTGTGTGTGTG